ATTTTATTTTATTTTATTTTTTTCTTCCTTTTTGTCTTTTTTACTGACCAGCAATGGGATCGCAACCCTCGGTGTTGCGCCCACACCACGCTCAGCCAGTGAGCGGGAACCGGTCTCCACATGAGATCCGAACCCTCGGCAGGAGCGCCGCCGCGCTCCCAAGCGGCGCACTCTCCAGTGTGCCACCGGGCCGGCCCGGTAATAAGCGTTTTAAAAGAGAGTAAGGCAGGTAAAGGGGTTGGGGAGTGAAGGAGGGAGGTTAGTACTCCATAACCATAAGGCATATGTGAGCCATTTATTTGGCAGTTGGGTTGGGGGATGGGGAAGGTGCATGCCAAATAGGATTCAGGAATCAGAACTTTGAATTTGAATGAAATGTTAAAGATTGAGATTGAGATTTAGGCCTTTCCAAGATGGAAGAGAGCCAAGAAGGTGGGGGCCTCTCTCATTATTGGAGACTCATTTCTGCATTCCCAGGCCTAGCCCTTGTGAGCTGCTTGCCACCTCTGCTCCCTGGGAACCCCAGCCATGGCAATGCACCAACCTTAGTCATGGCTGAATTATGTGCCATGGTTTGCTCTGTGACTGCTAACAAGGACACTGGCCTTCCTCCAGCTCCCTGCCTCTGATATCAACTAAGCCAGGGGACTATTGGCACATTTCCTCTCTAAACTTGTGTGAAGCATGGACTTCATAACACCTCATTTCCACGCAACTCCTTCTATAGTCATTTGATCTCATGAAACCTGGCAAAGCTGCATTTGGATTGACTTTGTCTATGTGGTTGGTGACATGGCACCTGTGCAGTTTTCTAAAAGTTCTTTGATACTGGTGGAACCTGCCTAATCAAAACAGACACAAGAGCCTTTTTCCTTCTTGGTTGTAGAAAGCATTTGAGATGGAACGACAAGAGCTACTGACCAGTAATAAGAAGAAATGGGAGCGGGCACTGCAGGCCCACAATGCCAAAGAGGTAAAGGGCAGGCAGACAGGCGTGGGAGGGTGCCCAGGGTGGTTGCTACTGTGGTTGAATTTGCTAGCTTTTTTATCTTGGGTAGGATTGCTACAGCCTATGTTCATTGCTGCACTTCATAGTTAATCAGTGTGGTCTTGCAGGTGGGGTTGTCTCTTTGGTGGTAAGTAGCACCTGTGCAGCTTGCTATGGTTTCCATGGCCCTGTTATTTTCTCCTTTGTTTCCTGGGTATCTACACCAGCTGTGGAGATTTGTGGCCTAAGAAGGTGTTTTAAGACATATTTTAAAAGGGCGTGGGATTATCACTTTATTTCAGAGATGTAAAGAACAAAAAAGTGACTTGACCAATGGACTTTTTAGAAATATAAATATATCTGATTGCAAGGTCTGTGCTTAGTTTCTTAATGCATTCCTCTTGGAGTTTCTGGAGTAAGGACCTCATTAAGTGATACAAGCTATAACCTAAGAGTTCAAAGCCTTGAGGCATTGGGCCACCAGACTCCCTCCAGAGTCATGAAACTTCCAGACTCTCCACTGTGTCACCCTTATCAGGGTACCTGAAGGACTGAGTTGGGGAAAGGGTGATCACTAACTTGCCTCTTGTCTTCTTGTGTCTTCAGCTGGAGTATCTTATCAACCGCATTAAGAAAGCAGATGAGTATGAGAAGCAGCTGAACAAGCAGAGGATCTGGGATTGCGAAGAGTACAACATGATCAAGATCAAGCTGGAGCAGGATGTGCAGGTGCGACAGCTGTGCCCCACTTAGGGTGTCTGGGTGGCAGAGAAGATGGCAAACACCTGTGCATGTTTCATCTTTAGCTACTACCCATAATGTTCTAGAGGTAGTTTGTTCAACAAATATTTACTAATTTTCTGCTTTCTTTTCAATGATAATATCCAAAGGAGCTCATGTACAGGATATACATAGAGGTATGCTTTCTTTAAGAAACCAGTAGAGGAGAACGTCCCAGATGTTACTGGGGTCTAGAAACCATGGCATGTGAAGAATTGTTGAAATAATTATTCTTTTTAGCCTCGCAAAGGGAAAATGTCCTGGAGGGCGAGTTAGCTGTGTCACAGGGCCAAAACTAGAACTACAACTGCTAATGACAGCAACCATCTAATGAGTGTCTACTATTGTTGGGAAAATATAGGAAAATGGTCAGGGCCCCTCAGATGTTCAGAATCTTACCGAGCATTTGATGTAAATAGGCATATGCGCTCAGGTGTTCCTTGGTTATCGTCTAGTGCAATTGAGCATGTGCACCCAGGTGTCCTGGGTTATGGACTTAAGTATAAGGATGAGTGGCTCTGATCCATGGTGCCTCCCAGCCCTGGGATGCCCCTACTGCTGCTAGAGGCTGCTGCTGCTACTGCCCCTGGGACCCTCTGCAAGGCCACTGCTGCTGCCGAACCTGTAAGCTGCTGCTGCTGAGGAAGCTGAGGACTGAGCTCATGTTATCTGTCAACAGCTCCTGGAATCTTTCCCAGTTACCTAGTGTGGGCCTGCGTGTGAGAGGTCTGGGGACCCAGTCTGTACAATGGGTTTGGAGGGTCTGAACCCTAGCTCTGACAATGTAAATGGAAACTTAGTGTAACTAAAATAATATCTAAAGTAATGAAACATTTTGGCTTTAGTTATGATTTGCCTTACTTTACAACTATATTCCAGACACTTAACATATGGTATCTCCTGTCCTCATAATAACACAAAAGTGAGAAGTTGATAACATCATTCTACACATCAGGAAACTGAGGCTCAGAGACAAGGCTTTCTGTCTAGTACATGGAAGTCCTGGATTCAAACCCAGTTCTATCAGGCTCAAAAGCTATATCATTCCCATTATTCCAAACAGCCCCCTGACTGATGGTTAGAAATTACAATAAGGCAGGTTCTGACTCACCATCAGGAAGAAGTTTCTAGTACTTAGTACCTTCCAATACGGACAAGGGTGTCCCACGAAACAAAGAGTCCTCTATCTCAAAGTATTCAGGGGCTGAATGACTGTTTCTCTTCCATGTTGCAGGATTCCTGCAGTAGTAGGAGGTTAGACTTTCTGGTTTCTAAAGTTCTTTGCAAGCATAGGGTTCTATGTTTCAACACCAGTTTTAAAAAAATGCATCTCTAATTACATTTATTGGGTTTTGTTTTGTTTTTTTTTTTTTTTTTTTTGGGTTTTGTTTTGTTTCATTTGCTGTATGCCCTTAGGACCATTTACAGAGATTTTTTAAAGTTGTACTTTTTTAAAAAAATAATTTTTAGCAGTTTTACTAGAAAATAGAGCCATGGAGCATCTTACATTGCCATGCTAGAAGTGGAACTTTTGTATGTGTCTGGAGTTAGTTGGGACCTTCATGTTATAAGCACCACTTTCTTTTTCTTTTTTCTTTCTTTTGTTTTGTCAGCTGGCTGGTATGTGGATCTGGACCCTTGACCCTGGTGTTATAACACTGTGCTCTAATCAACTGAGCTAGCTGGCCAGTCCTCTAACTACATTGAAATGTAATGTATTTGCATGTTAATATTCAAGCACAGTCTATTCATTTCAGTCTTTGTGTAGAAGAACATGTTAGATTGAAGTTCTTCCGCATAGCCTTCGGTAGAATTTCAGTTCTTACTCTTCCTGTAGCTTTATGTCATGAAGTTAAATAAAAAGACCCCATTGAACTACAAAATATATTTACAATCTTGAGCATTTTTCTGGGTCTTTCTCCTATTAATGGCATGGAAGTGAGTTACTGACAGAACAGTACAAGGCTGTAACAGAGCAGTCCTGCTCATGTGGGCTTTACATGTTATGATTTCACTGAAAATGTCTATTGTTAAGCTTTCTGAATTTATTTTGGTTCCTTAATAGTTTGTGACAAAAGTACACACGGTTGGCCTCAAACGGTGAGATATGTGGAACCTCATGTTCTTAATCCAATGTTCAAATACTTGAAGGAAGCCAAAAAGTTTGGGACATGGGGAGATGACGGGGGGAATTCGTAGGAGGTAGGTAAAACTAGAGAGGTGAGGGACAGAGGCAGGGAGCCTGGGAGACCTGGCTGTCTTGCTGTCCCTGTCCAGATGGACTGATGGTGGAGTGTGTGTATGCAGGAGGTGGGCAGATGGAGACATTCAGAGTGGGAAAGTAGCTGTGGCTCTTTGCATCCCCGTTCTTTCCTGTGTTAGAGGAAACTGAGAGTACATGGTACTACTTTCTACCCTTTAACTGGGAAAAAAAATCATCAAATTGGGGATTACCTGTGTTGCAACATGTGGGATATTTTAGTAGATTGAACTTTATCATAGTGCCTCTTAGGAGTACTTTCAGTAGATGTTCAATCAGATAGCAATAACGTTTGTCAAAAAGATACAGCACAGAGCTCAACGTCAAATTTGCTCTTCCCAACTAATTCATAGCATTCTATCAGTTCTAAAATACAGAACTAAAATTCTTGTAAACCACAAAAATAGGAAGGAGCCACAGATTTGGTGTGATGGGTGAAGTGCAAGAAGTAAAATAATGAATGTATACTTTTCAAGTGCTTACTGCCAGTAAAGGTCACGTTATGAATAACTGGAGCAAAGAGAAGCCTAGAAATATTAAGCACTTGATTGGGATTTTAACACCCCCACCCACCACCCCAAAATAAAACTGTAGAAACAGTTTAATTCTTGATGGAGGAAACAAATGTTTTTATTTTTAGGCCTTATATGCTTGTTTAAAATTATACAGTGGTCTATTTCACATTTAGTGGCTGTTACCTTTAATACCAGAATATTAATCACAGAAAATTAAATATAAGTTATTTATTTAACAAATATTGTTAACTTGCATTGTGCAAAGCACAGAGATAAACAAGCTATAGTCCTTGCCCTCAAGGAACATGTAATCCATGGAGTAAGAAAGCAAGCTACATAAATAGTGTAAAAGAATGAGTGGTGAGAAAGAAAGGCAGAAGTAAGAGTGTGATAGAAGAGGAAATTGCTGGTCTGTGCTTCCAAATGGGATCCTGCCTTCTCATCCTAGGGTTGAGATTGGTGGTGAAGAGGCCCAATGAGAGCTCTAGAGTCAGCTGAGAAGGGAAAGGCTGTTTTAAATTTCCATTCTGCTGGGGCATTGATGGTAGCCTGTTTTCCTGAGCCTATGGGCGGGAGATGGCACCCCAAAGCAGCTCTACAGAAGCTCCTACTGCCACAGTAGAAAAGGGGAAGGTGTAATCAATGCCTGTGCTTCCTTTAACATTGAAGGACTTTTGTGGCAGGTTAGATCGTAATCTTTATAAAGTATTCATGAAAACCAAACATCAAGTTTTGCCATTAGTCTTGGGAACATAAATTACAACTTTGCGAAATACCTTTGGATGACTAACTTGCATTGTGCAAAGCACAGAGGTAAACAAGCTATAGTCCTTGCCCTCAAGGAACATGTAATCCATGGAGTAAGAAAGCAAGCTACATAAATAGTGTAAAAGAACGAGTGGTGAGAAAGAAAGGCAGAAGTAAGAGTGTGATAGAAGAGGAAATTGCTGGTCTGTGCTTCCAAATGGGATTCTGCCTTTTCATCCTAGGGTTGAGGTTGGTGGTGAAGAGGCCCAATGAGAGCTCTAGAGTCAGCTGAGAAGGGAAAGGCTGTTTTAAATTTCCATTCTGCCGGGGCATTGATGGTAGCCTGTTTTCCTGAGCCTATGGGCGGGAGATGGCACCCCAAAGCAGCTCTACAGAAGCTCCTACTGCCACAGTAGAAAAGGGGAAGGTGTAATCAATGCCTGTGCTACCTTTAACATTGAAGAACTTTTGTGGCAGGTTAGATCGTAATCTTTATAAATTATTCATGAAAACCAAATATCAAGTTTTGCCATTAGTCTTGGGAACATAAATTACAACTTTGCGAAATACCTTTGGATGATTGAGCAGTAAGCACAGACATTTAACAAAATCAATTTCAGTTTCTTAAAACCGTATTCCGTATATGACAATCAAGGAAGACTATATATTGAGACTAAAACCTGTCACTTAACAATAAAATTATCACGAGTGTACGGGGAGCATGAGGTGGGAAAACAAATGATGCATGGAGTAAATCATGGCACTGCCCACTGTAGACTCTGTGCTCTAAGAGGCTCAAGACTATTAGTATTTTGTAAGTTCACTGACTGAACCGCCAATANATCAAGTTTTGCCATTAGTCTTGGGAACATAAATTACAACTTTGCGAAATACCTTTGGATGATTGAGCAGTAAGCACAGACATTTAACAAAATCAATTTCAGTTTCTTAAAACCGTGTTCCGTATATGACAATCAAGGAAGACTATATATTGAGACTAAAACCTGTCACTTAACAATAAAATTATCACGAGTGTACGGGGAGCATGAGGTGGGAAAACAAATGATGCATGGAGTAAATCATGGCACTGCCCACTGTAGACTCTGTGCTCTAAGAGGCTCAAGACTATTAGTATTTTGTAAGTTCACTGACTGAACCGCCAATAGCTCCTAAGTGGCATCATAAATGTGAAGGCAGCAGGAAGTTGTCCTGTTTCTGTGATTTGGTAAAGATGGTCAGCCCTGGTGCGTGTTGCATTGCTAGGGCCTCCAGGCATTGGTCCCCTAAGAACATGCTCTAGCAAAGAACTGAGCGAACGTTTGCCAGAGAGGAAATAAAAACAGCTAATAAACATTCCATCACATGTCGAAGCAAAGAAGTGTAAATCAAAACAATCGGGTGATAGGTTTTTTTTTTTCCCCTATAAAATCAGCACAGATTCAAGTTCTTTCAGATCGCAAGCAAAAAGACCTGAGCAAATTGCTTTAGTTCAGAGTTTTGTAAACTGTGTTTGGCTGGGTGAGATACTAGAAGTGATTTCACAAAGCAAACAAAAAAAGTGATGCCGATATTTTTTCCTTTCAATTTATTTTAAAATATGTAGGAAAAAATACAGTCCCTTTACATAGTTGTTATTATGTTATCATTTGCCTTTAAGGATGAAATTCACATGCGAGTTCATGGGACAAAGCTTGCATTTGTAGCTCACATGCTCTCCTATTATAAATATAAAAATATCCTATGGCCAAGTAAGTTTGGGAAATCCTGTCTTAGTGATGGGGCTCATTGCAAAGCTACAAGAAGAATCAGCAGAGCACTCAGGTACACTGGGTCTCAGGGCTCCCACGCGTGTCAGTGCCTGGGAAGACTGGAACAGCCACTCGTCATTCAAAATCCAAAGCAGCTCTGGAGGCCCTCCTTCCCTGTGAGTGTTCATACTTCCTCAGGTTGTCACCATCCAACATGGAGCTTTTCTCTTGGATTTCTATGCCGAGCCACCTCATAGACCAATGCCTCCCTCTATCCCTCACCCCCCTTCAGTGTCCAGCCCATGCATGTTTGGTTTGTGTTCTGATTCTGGACTTGCTTGGTTGTGACCAGGGCTGGTCATATTTGAAACAGTAGGGCTGGTTTAATTTGAAGAATGGGGACATATAACATTTTATTTTTATTTTTTTTACTTCTGAGAGTCTCTTTCCCTAGTAGACACACAGCCATCGCTGGGAGAGGACAGGGCCTAGGAATGACTCAGCCTGATAATTGAACTTGAAGTGAGGCTATGCTGAGCATCTTCAATAGGCCCTTTACAATGTTATTCAAATCAGAAATTTCAAAATTAAATTTTATTCATGCTCGGGACAAGCGGCGCACTATCCAGTGCGCCACCGGGCCGGCCCGACATATAACATTTTAACTTTGCAAGAAGAACTTCTGAGAGTCTCTTTCCCTAGTAGACACACAGCCATCGCTGGGAGAGGACAGGGCCTAGGAATGACTCAGCCTGATAATTGAACTTGAAGTGAGGCTATGCTGAGCATCTTCAATAGGCCCTTTACAATGTTATTCAAATCAGAAATTTCAAAATTAAATTTTATTCATGCTCGGGAAGAGTCATGTATAGCTTCCAGCATCTCCCTGCCCTACCCCAACCGCCCTCCCAAGGGCTGGCCCTGCTCAGTGCTGGCAGGGTGTGGTGAGGTGGGCACTTGCTCCCATGCCCAGTGGGCATATAAACCATGAATTGCTGGTTGGAAAGCAATTTATTGAGAACCTTTGACCTAGTCATTTCACTTCTAAGTATCTACGTTAAGGAAATAAAGAAAATACCACAAAGTTTTTATATACAATTTATCCCAACATTATTTTTATAATATTGAAAATTATCAAACAATATAAATATACAACTATAGGGAAATGATAAAATATTATGATATATGATAAACATATCATAAATATTTAATATATGATAAAATAATATATAAAAGTATTATGCACCATTCAAATAAAACTTTACTAACATGGAAAATTCTTACTGTAATATTAAGGGAGGAAAGTAGGATAGAAAATTGTAGGCATAGTCAGAATCCAGCTATGTAAAGAACACCAGAGGGAAACACACCAATATGTTAGCAGAAGTTGCCCTGGGTAGGGATTTTATAGATGGTTTTTCCTCCCCCTTCTCCTATGTCTTCTTTTTCATCTCTGTACATTCCAAATTTTCTATAATGAGCAAATATTGCTTTTGCAATCAGATAAAGTTTTTACAATGGAGAGTATATAACTAGAAAAAGTAAATAAAAATTAACTGAATAAGTGGAGAAGTTGGGAGGTACAATTTAGTTATCACCTCAGGGAACAATATGGTTCTTCATTTACCATCTGTTAAAAATAGATGTTACAGCCTTCTGTTCTGAAGATGTTCAAATACTTGTCTCAAAATGGAGATTGAAGAATCTCTGCAATAGTTAAATAGAATCCACTTGACTAATTTCCCTGGTTACAACGTGGAGATCACCGGATTCAACACCAAATGTGGAAATGGCACGCCTCCTGACCTGATGATNTGCATGTTTGGTTTGTGTTCTGATTCTGGACTTGCTTGGTTGTGACCAGGGCTGGTCATATTTGAAACAGTAGGGCTGGTTTAATTTGAAGAATGGGGACATATAACATTTTAACTTTGCAAGAAGAACTTCTGAGAGTCTCTTTCCCTAGTAGACACACAGCCATCGCTGGGAGAGGACAGGGCCTAGGAATGACTCAGCCTGATAATTGAACTTGAAGTGAGGCTATGCTGAGCATCTTCAATAGGCCCTTTACAATGTTATTCAAATCAGAAATTTCAAAATTAAATTTTATTCATGCTCGGGAAGAGTCATGTATAGCTTCCAGCATCTCCCTGCCCTACCCCAACCGCCCTCCCAAGGGCTGGCCCTGCTCAGTGCTGGCAGGGTGTGGTGAGGTGGGCACTTGCTCCCATGCCCAGTGGGCATATAAACCATGAATTGCTGGTTGGAAAGCAATTTATTGAGAACCTTTGACCTAGTCATTTCACTTCTAAGTATCTACGTTAAGGAAATAAAGAAAATACCACAAAGTTTTTATATACAATTTATCCCAACATTATTTTTATAATATTGAAAATTATCAAACAATATAAATATACAACTATAGGGAAATGATAAAATATTATGATATATGATAAACATATCATAAATATTTAATATATGATAAAATAATATATAAAAGTATTATGCACCATTCAAATAAAACTTTACTAACATGGAAAATTCTTACTGTAATATTAAGGGAGGAAAGTAGGATAGAAAATTGTAGGCATAGTCAGAATCCAGCTATGTAAAGAACACCAGAGGGAAACACACCAATATGTTAGCAGAAGTTGCCCTGGGTAGGGATTTTATAGATGGTTTTTCCTCCCCCTTCTCCTATGTCTTCTTTTTCATCTCTGTACATTCCAAATTTTCTATAATGAGCAAATATTGCTTTTGCAATCAGATAAAGTTTTTACAATGGAGAGTATATAACTAGAAAAAGTAAATAAAAATTAACTGAATAAGTGGAGAAGTTGGGAGGTACAATTTAGTTATCACCTCAGGGAACAATATGGTTCTTCATTTACCATCTGTTAAAAATAGATGTTACAGCCTTCTGTTCTGAAGATGTTCAAATACTTGTCTCAAAATGGAGATTGAAGAATCTCTGCAATAGTTAAATAGAATCCACTTGACTAATTTCCCTGGTTACAACGTGGAGATCACCGGATTCAACACCAAATGTGGAAATGGCACGCCTCCTGACCTGATGATTCCTTATTCTCCTCCTAGCTGGTTACTGTCCTTGAGGATGAGCCAAAGGGGGGATGTGTTAGCTGCTTGGAATCAATTCCTTTGTTGATTCCACGGAGAGTCTGTAGCCTCGTGGAGGGAGATGGGAAGGAGCTTGAGAGAGCGCCGCGTGTGGCTGTTTTGTCAAGATCTGATTACACTCCCTTGCCTTCTCCACCCCTGCATTCCCCTCAGGAGAGGCAGGGGCATGCCAATTGGTTTGTGTTTGCCCACCCTCCAGCCTTGCCTCTCTGTAAGAGCAATCTTTTGACAGTGCCTGGACTGAGCATTTTCCTCCCGAGCTTAACATCTCGAGTGGCCGTCCACTGACTTCAAGCACAGTGAGGCTCTGCTGCTGTATCAGCCCTTCTTTGGCCATTTCTTGCTCACTCTAAACTGCTTGTGGGTTCCCCAAAGCACCCCTCCCTCTCTTGCCTCTGTGCCTTTGCATATGCTGTTTCCTCTCCCTAGAACTCTCCCCATCAGGTGCCACCTGAGGAACTCCTACTCATCCTCCAGGTCTCAGGTGGACATGCTAATGCCATTTTGTCAGGGATGCCTTCCCTGGTCCCTCAAAGCCAAGGAAAGTGCTCCTCATATTGGTCCCATATTACCCAGTGCTTATTCTTTCTTACTTTTCCATTACTAGTGCTTGTTCATGGTCTTTGTCCTAGACCTTGCAGGACTATGCCTTTATCACCAGGGTTTTCCCAGCAGCACCTAGAAAAGTATCTGACATATATTAGGCGCTCAATAAATATTTGCTAAATGAATGAATATAACTAATGGAAATCCAAGAAGGATGCCTGTGTCTGTCCTTTTTAAAAATGAATGTGGGGCCGGCCCCGTGGCACACTCAGGAGAGTGTGGCGCTCCCACCGCAGGTTCGGATCCTATATAGGGATGGCCGGTGCACTTACTGGCTGAGCCTGGTGCGGGTGACACTAAGCCAAGGGTTGCGATCCCCTTACCGGTCACAAAAAAGACAAAGAAAAAAGAAAAAAAAGAATGTGGGTTGCTAAACACTGTTAACACTGCCACTCTGGAAGGTCAAAGAAGGGAAATTTCAAGTTTTTGTGGCAATATTAATTTTTATGGTGTTTTTCCTGGGGCTGCTCATGTCTCTAAAAGGTTTCATGCAAAGTACTAGAGTTAGTTGGACTTGAAAGTTCTAACTATGATCTTTCTTAGTCTTTAGGTACACAGCCTTCAGCTTGCAGTTGATTGATTTGTATTTTATCTGTCTGGCCTGTAATTTGCCTCTAATGATAGATTTTCTAAGATTCCAGGTCAAGGCTCTTGTCCCTGTCAGAGGCGCTGGGGCACAACAAATTATACTAGGGACAATTAGTACATTTTTCTTTAAACTTTAGATCCTCGAGCAACAGCTTCAGCATATGAAAGCAACTTATCAGCTAAACCAAGAGAAGTTAGAGTACAACTTCCAGGTGCTGAAGAAGAGAGATGAGGAAAGCACGGTGATTAAATCACAGCAGAAGAGGAAGATCAATCGGTAAGCTCGCATCAGAGCCTCTTTCTTCTGGGCCCTTCTATGCCGACAATAGTCATGGGTGTGTACTTTTCTTTCCTGAAGGGGTAGAAACCATTAAAAATGAAACCAATTTTTATTAAAAGAGTTTTTTGGAAAAAGATAATACATTCAAGTCATTCTACCCTCTTCCCCCTGAGTGAAGAGTATTTAGCAAAAGTCTTCCTCCTCTTTCCCACCACTGTGCCCATCATTCATTTGTTTCTTCCAGAATTTCTTTATGCATATACAAACACACACAAATAGCTATTCTCATCCCCTGCTGCCTTTACACACATGATGGCATTCTACACACACTGGTCCATATCTTGAAGACCTTTCTGCACCATTTCACAGAGAGCTTTTGCATTATTTCTTAAGCTGCTTAGGACTCCACTGCATAGGTGTGCTATGGTTTATTTAACCAGTCTCTGTTGATGGACAGTAGATTTGCTATTGCGAATAATACTATCATAAGTACTTATGTTAGGAGCCAATCTACTTTTGTGCAGATTCTTCATTGAGAAGTATCTACTGCTTGAAATTTCTCACCCATCCTTCCCCTTATCTCCCTTCTTCCCCATCTCCTTCCTTCCATCCTTCCTGCCTTTCTTCCTTTAAAAATTGTCTCCGAAGTTCCAGACCCTTGTGCTGGGCTCTGAGGATCAGAGTAGAATAAGATATCTTGTTTAAAGGAGGAGACAGGATTGAGAATTTCCCCCCAAATCCCAAATAACCTATTATTATTTATGAGTTCTCCCACTTATAGGTTGATTATATATTTTGGACAAACGTTGGGTGTATAGAGAAATACCACTTGATCTTTTGATAGTAACCTATAACAGAAAATGACATTGAATAAATGAGGTGGCATCTTAAGCCTGATTATCTGAGAAATAAGTGTAGTTAGAGCACAATATTTATGGAAAAATCCCATTATATGCACCATACTGGATAGGGAAACATCAAGGAGGGACACAAATCAGTACAATCAGAAGGAGTTATCTGGGAAGACTTCCTTAAGTGAACTAGTGAAGGGGGTAATGATATGAATTTGCAAAAAGGAGTTAAGAGGAGACTCCAGGTAGACAGTGCTAGAAGCTGGGAATGGCAGGTCTGAAGGCAAGGAGGTAGGAATCAAAAAGTTATAGATCCCATAGAGGGTGGAAAGAGGATGGTGAAATGGGAGGCAGGAGGAGGTGCTTGAGGCAGAGCTTGGTTGGGTTTGATGTGCACGACAGAGAGGAGACATGAGTGCCATCACCCCCACCAGCTCTGCCCTCTGACTTCAACTTAGACAGGCTTCCCTCAGCCAGCCTTAAAATCCCTTCAGCTGGCCCTGCCGCCTCTCTGTAAGGACTGTTTTTCTCTTGCTTTTATTGCCATTTTCCTTCCTCATTACCCGCCCCTCCCCCCCAACATTTCATCATTTGAGTTACATCTTAGTCTGTTCGTGCTGCTATCACAGAGAACCTGAGACTGAATAAGTTATAATGAACAGAAATGTATTTCTCACAGTTCTGGAGGCCGGAAAGTCCAAGATCAAGGTGCCAGCAGGTTTAGTTGTCTGGTGAGAGGTGCGTCCTCTGGAGGGGAGGAACACTGTGTCCTCACATGGCAGAAGAGCAGAAAAGCAAGGGCTTTAATCCGTTGTATAAGGGCCTTAATCCCAAGGGTGGAGCCCTCATGGCAGAATTGCCTCTGAAAGATCCCACCTCTTAATATTATCACATCAGCAGCACCTGAATTTTGGAGGGGACATACTCAAACCATAGCAACCTATGACCCAAGGACTGAACAAAAACTTCCTGCCGTAGGATACCAGCGATGTCCTTCTAGTCAAACACAATGGCTTCTCCTTAGGCCTCATCCTATTATTATTGGATACTGAACTTTTCTTCTTTGTTTTTTATGACCCTAAAATATTTGCTCTTCTTTTAAAACTTATTCCTTGTTTCCTTTGGTGGTTCTGCTTTTTCTTGCCTGATATTTCCTGAATATCTAGATAAGATATTCTAGAAAGCACAGGCCTTACCTTACTCCTTTCCTTTTTATTTTTATTTCATCCGCCTTATATGAAGTACTTCAACATGTTCAAGGAAAGATTCATACCTTTTAATTCTATTTTTCCATGACCTTGTTGAAGTTCCCTCGTATATAAATCTCATGGTTTTGAATATCATGTTTTCGTGGATGACTACCAACTTCACATCTGTCATCTTGACCTCGGCTCTTTGCTTGATCTGGAACTGCCAACCTAATAGTCCAACTTGGAAAATCACTGTCCTTTCCAGTGTAGAATTTATGAAACCAGACTTGCCTGCGCTCCCAGTTTTCCAGTTCTCCAGCCTCACTCCTCTTCCTCTGTAACTTCCAGCCAGTTGCTAAGGACTCCGGACTTTTTGTTGAGCCTCGTCTTGTCACCCATTTTTTTCTTGTCCACTCCCTCTCATGCTACCTTGCCCAGACCTTCAGTGTGCAACTGGAGTTTGTTTATTTTTTATTAGCTTCTATGATTAGATAACACATAGAAACTCCTTTATTACATGGCCATGAAAAAACTCTTTGGGATGACTACTTAAAAAAATTTTTTTTACATCTGTATTTGGAAAGCCCCCTTGAATGCTGTAGTTAAGAAAATAGGTTAGATATTTCCTTTTATCAAAGACTAAGTTAAATATTTTTTGCATTTTCTTCAGGATGAAAAATATGAATGATGAATGTTTGCATTTGAGGGGCCTTTTGATTATTTCAGAATAATGCATAGGAGAGGGGTATTTTGATTTTTTAGAATTTTTAAACTTAAAATATATTGGCCTTCACCTTTTCTATTCCTGTATAAATGGAGCACTGATATAAGACACATCTTTAGCAGTTTGAAATCTGAAGTATGTTTCTGGGTCTAAAACCTAAGCCTGCCATGCATATTTTATTGGACAAGTTTCCATGCATGGAGCTCCTATTAGCAGTGAAATGGTGAGCTGTGGCAAGCCTGGACTCACAGTGCTGTTGGCCGGCTCATAACCGTCTCTTGCTGTTCTGGAACCTTTGGACCACTCCCTCCCCTGAAAGCCAGGGTAAGTTAGATGCCTCACCTCTGGGCTCCCCTGGCACCCTGTGTAAAACTCTACTATAGCACTTTTCACAGTGTGCTGTAATTAATGTTTGTCTTTGTCTTTGACTGGACGAATAACGCCATGTATTCAAACATATCCTTGATACAACAGAGGCATTTCATGTTTGATGAATGAGTAAGTGAATGAATGAATGAGTTACTGGACCCGTTACCTGTATCAGTTCTTTGAGGATAGAGGATTCATATATCATAGGCTTGTGGTGTGCAGTTTTAATTTTTTCCTTTCAATTTTCCTTGTTTCAGAATTGAAATGAACATCCAAATAATGACAATGAAATAGTTGAGATAGATTATTTAAGTATGTGAGGTTGGTCCTAGATATGCACACTCTGAAATGGTGCGTTGAGGAAGGTTCACACTCTTGAGTTGGAGACTGCCTCTTGGTGGGTATAGGCTTCTGGATTGTTTTAAATGCGTTTAGTTCTGGATTTTCCTGTTTCCCCCTGTTGCCTTCCTTTCCTTGATCACAATGGAAGCTGTGTTTTGGAATGTATGAGAGGATATTCTGTCCTTCCATAAATCTGACCCTGAGTTGGTTGTAGAGCTGGGTCAGGTGGATAAGAGGAACATACATCATATTTTCTGTTCAGCTGCAGACTAACTTTTTTCCCCCTTCAATCAGCCTGCATGATATACTCAACAATCTGAGATCAAAATATGCCAAGCAGATAAAACAGTTTCAGGAGGAGAACCAGTCTCTAACATCAGACTACAAGCGTCTTGTGATGCAATTCAAGGAGCTACAGAAAGCCATGAGGTATTTTAGGGACTTGGGTCCTAAGGCGCCTATCCTAGAATAGAGGTGGTGGGGGTGGAGTTGGTAGTGGCAGTGACTGTGTTACACTTGATATCACCAGCTTTTTTGGAGCCAGACCAGGGCACTAAAAAAATCCTTTGTGCTGTGTTCCTCTGTCCCTCTACTCACATGTCACCTGCTTTTTCTTGAGATTTGTTGGGATGGCTTCTGGTTTATCATAGATGGGAATCAGCTGCCCAAGATTTACTGCAGCTCTTCCTCACATTCCTGCCCTGCCGGCAATTGAGGGGGCTCTGGCCAGGCCCTGGGGTCAGCTGGCCATGCTCAGTGACTCTCTTTCACAGGCACTTTGCTCTTATTGATGATGAGAAGTTTCGGGAGATTTGGCTGATGAATGAAGAGGAAGCAAAGGATCTAATAGGCAGAGCCCTCGATGTAGACAGGATCATCCATACTCATCATCTGGGACTCCCCTGGACGGCGCCTGACTTCTGGTTCCTGAAGAATGTGGGGCCGATTTCTCAGCAGCAGCGGAAGTCCGCCACACAAATAGTAGAGGAAGTGCTGATGCAAACAGGTGACGAGAATAGAGTCGCAGAGCCCTAGAGCTGGACAGGCCCTCTGAGAACAAGCCATTCAATCTACAGATCAGGAAATCAAGTCTAGAGAGGAGGGTGAAGAGGTCTCATGGCTAGGAGGTCGCAGAGTATGAGTAGTTGGTATGGCTTTTAAGTCTCCTCTGATTTATAGCTTTGCCCTCTCCACTGTATTACACTGGTAGTTAGATCTAGAAGCTTGATTAGAGGCAGGTTCAATTTATTTTTTGCTAAGTCACACTGTGGTGTACCTCCATTAGCATAAACTAACATCAGGTTTCCTCTCTTTTTATATTGTTAGCAATCATAGATAATCGTTGTCTAAGATCTATTAATTGCATTAGGGGTTGCAAAATGGGTGATATTTTAAATTCAATCAGTATGTCTTCATTTATCAGCTAGAACACATCTAAAAGAGAATCTTCTTCTCATCAGCTATTTGCTACCCCGAGATACAGTTTGAACAGAAAAATCAATTTTTCTATTTACNTGGCTGATGAATGAAGAGGAAGCAAAGGATCTAATAGGCAGAGCCCTCGATGTAGACAGGATCATCCATACTCATCATCTGGGACTCCCCTGGACGGCGCCTGACTTCTGGTTCCTGAAGAATGTGGGGCCGATTTCTCAGCAGCAGCGGAAGTCCGCCACACAAATAGTAGAGGAAGTGCTGATGCAAACAGGTGACGAGAATAGAGTCGCAGAGCCCTAGAGCTGGACAGGCCCTCTGAGAACAAGCCATTCAATCTACAGATCAGGAAATCAAGTCTAGAGAGGAGGGTGAAGAGGTCTCATGGCTAGGAGGTCGCAGAGTATGAGTAGTTGGTATGGCTTTTAAGTCTCCTCTGATTTATAGCTTTGCCCTCTCCACTGTATTACACTGGTAGTTAGATCTAGAAGCTTGATTAGAGGCAGGTTCAATTTATTTTTTGCTAAGTCACACTGTGGTGTACCTCCATTAGCATAAACTAACATCAGGTTTCCTCTCTTTTTATATTGTTAGCAATCATAGATAATCGTTGTCTAAGATCTATTAATTGCATTAGGGGTTGCAAAATGGGTGATATTTTAAATTCAATCAGTATGTCTTCATTTATCAGCTAGAACACATCTAAAAGAGAATCTTCTCATCAGCTATTTGCTACCCTGAGATACAGTTTGAACAGAAAAATCAATTTTTCTATTTACCATAATGGATTGGGTCTTTAGCGTCTTCCAAAGTTACCAATGAGTTTTTTAATTTTAAATTCAATCAGTATGTCTTCATTTATCAGCTAGAACACATCTAAAAGAGAATCTTCTTCTCATCAGCTATTTGCTACCCCGAGATACAGTTTGAACAGAAAAATCAATTTTTCTATTTACCATAATGGATTGGGTCTTTAGCGTCTTCCAAAGGTACCAATGGGTTTTTTTAAAAAAACAAATTATTATGAGTGCATGGATTTAAACGAATTTGATGCGTTTCAGTTTAATGCAGTTATTATCCTTTTTGATACTCAGATTGTTTCATCTTTGGCCAGTGGGAGCCTCTTCATGTTGGATCTGGGTCCTTTTGACACAGCCCTCGCAGTCTTTGATAGCTTCCTGGCTTTTTAGGATGACCGGATATTCCAAGCACACAGTATACTTTTCCTGCCTCAAGTCTGGAATCAGCCATTTCTTCAAGGACACCCAGTCTTGGAAATAGCGGATGGTGTTTGGAACCACTTTGGGTGCCGAGCTACTCATTGTTTGGGTTGGCTTTTGTTTCTAGGCCTTTTCAGTGGACAGAGCTGAGGGTAGAGGATTATTTTTTGATGGTACAATAAATCATGAGTTCATCCTCATACTTCCTAGTCGACAGGATGCCAGGATTTTTACTTAACCTTGTCAAAGTGTATCTCCTTTCTCCCAACCTGAAAATCTTGGCACTCAATGACTCCGCAATACAAACGTACATCAAAAAGCTCATGGAAAAATAGAATGAAAAAATAATATGAATCTTTCCATGAACTTTTTGAATACCCCTCGTAATTACTCAGATGCTTGCCCTACAATACCACAGAATAGTTTCGGAAGAAAATATCAACCCTACCACCAATAAATGATTATTAAAAATTGCTTAAACTTTTTCGTAGTTATTTTTGTTCTTAAGATGTATCCCACTATGGATGTACAGACAGATTACTGTATTCTAAAGTCACTTGAAATAGTTTCTGTGTTATGTCACCAACTGGAGACATATTTAGTTTTTTTTGGTTTCATTTTACTTTTCATTATTAGAGATTGCTTTGTACATTTAATTTTGTTTTATAATTATGTAAACTATTTACATGTTTCCAAAGTCAAATGTATAAAACAAGGTATATTCAGAGGCTAGCCAGTTAGCACAGTGTTATAACGTCAAGGTTAAGGGTTTGAGTCCCCATGCAGGCCAGCTGCCAAAAACAAAAGAAAACAGAAAAAGCAAGTTATATTCAAAGAAGTCTAGCTTTTATTCTCTCCACCCTATCTCATCCCTTTCCTATAGGTAACTATTAAAAAATTTATGGTTTATCTTTCCATTGCTTTTTAAAATTACATATCAATTTTTTAGGTAAATTAAAGCATATGCTTTTTTGTACCTTGCTTTTTTTCACTTAAAATAATCCCACAGATTATTCTGTAGTAGTAAAACAGTATACTTTTTACATGATACTCAATTACATGTCTGTGCCATAATTTGTTCAAATAGTCCTCTGTTGATCGTCATTGGGATATTTCCAGTTTTTTGCTTATTTTTGTGATCACAACATTGCTGCAATAGTTTTGTTCATTTGTCTTCTCATATTCTTGTGAGCTAATTTTTGGGTAGGATTCCTCTAAGTAGGACTGCTGGATCAAAGGGTAAATGCCTGTGTAATTTTTGCTGGAAATTACTGCACAGGGATGGTACCATTTTGCATTCCCACCAGCAATTTGATATCTTATACTCCTCTAAATGTCTTCATCGGTATTATTTCATCTCACCTTTTGAACAACCAGTAAAACCTTGTTAGCGTGGTGATTTTTATTCCCATTTTCAGATGAGGAATGTATAGTATAAAACATTAAAAAATTTTTAGTTTTAATTAAGAACATTTTGGCTCTTAGTGTCAGCCATCAGTTCTCACCGATAATATTCCTCTGTGAAGAATAACCCCCTTTAAGTTATCCTCCTTTAAGTTGGCTGCTTCTAATCTGCTGCAGGTTTAGAAGCCATATAGCACACTCGGCTAGATTGTCTCTGAAATAAGAACAGATAGGCTCATATCTGGCTAGATTTTGAGTATGATGCTTCCAGGCAGGTGAAATTTAGAAAAATAAGTGAGGCATTATAGGCTGGCTGAGAGTGGCTGAGTTCCCACCCCCATGTCCCCTTTTCTTCCACATAATAGGCTTTCTTAAGCATAAAGAGATTGTGATAGTGCCTCAAAGAGGCTTTTTGAGAAGTAAATTTTCTCAAGGAAAGCCATCTGACTGTTTCTCAAAGCCAGTAAGGCCAAGAAATTATCTTCTCTTTTTTCCCTCTTTCTTTCTCTTCTCTCCATGACCCATATGCAGAAGAGGAGGGGGTAGAAGAGGCTGCCTCAGAATCAGAATCTTATCTGGACCTGCCAAAGCAAGTTTCAGCAAAAACTACCAGAAAGATCCTGATGCTCCTGTGTGATGAATCGGTGAGGCCAGGCCAGGGCTGTGGCCAAGGGACTCTCACTTGGGTGCTGCTTCTCAGGGCTCTGCTGGGCCAGATGTGGCCTGGAGTCAGGAGTGGGCCAGCCCTCCCCTGCCCAAGCCTAGAGCCTGGGCCTGAGGAGTCGTGCTGAGAGCTGGCCCTGATGGCAAATGGGTTTTCCCATGGGGGGTCAGCAAGGTGTGGTCCAGGCCAAATGGCGGGCTCCTGCTGACCTAGAGTGATGCTCATCATGAGAGACAAGAGGCACCAGTCTTGCTCCATGACCCCACCTGCTAAGTGCTGTGGCCACACTGACCATGGCCTTTCTCTGGGCTCAGTTTAAGGTTTCCCTGGGAATGTTAGGCTTTGGATATCTGCACTGGGAGCTACCCGAAGTGACCAGACTTAGAATAAATCCTGCATTGGAGCTGGTTCAGCTGGAGGTTGGGTTGTTACCAAACATGATGAGTGTTTATTTAGATTTTATGGTTCTGAGGTGGGTAAAAGAGGTGGAGCAAGGATTGGCAGCCCCCAGTTCTCTTGGGGCAGTTTTCTTTGGTGCAAGAGCTGGCTCTAGCCACTGAGGACAGCTCCTGATATAGGAGCTGGCTGGGTGGTGTCCTCTCTCTATTTGCAGGCTTGACGCTAGCCCATGGAGCCTTCCATGAGCTGAGGAGCCTGAGATCAGAGCAGGCACTCAACTGCCCCCAGCACACCCCTTCCTGGGCACTGTGTTCTGATCTGGCACGTCTGCCTCCCCCCATGCCTTCCTCTTCTCTCTCTCTCTATTTGCAGGCTTGACGCTAGCCCATGGAGCCTTCCATGAGCTGAGGAGCCTGAGCTCAGACCAGGCACTCAACTGCCCCCAGCACACCCCTTCCTGGGCACTGTGTTCTGATCTGGCACGTCTGCCTCCCCCCATGCCTTCCTCTTCTCTAGCTCTGTGCCTGCTGCTGTGTTCTGCAGATATCTGGGGTCCAGAATACGGGTGAAGTGGGAACCTGGGATTGGGTCAGGTTTGGACTGCTGCGGAGAACTCAGGGGCTTGCCTGATGGCCTGTGGGTGAGGTGAATTAGCACCCTTCTGAGGTGCGGGACTTTGTCCTTCACCTTGCTCCCTGGGAATGGCTCTTAGGCATCCCAAGAAGGCCTTCCTCCAGGGATCCCCTGCCCAAAGTCTCATCTCTGGAAGTTCTGCTCCTTGGAGTTGTCCCTGGAGAGTTACACAGAAGGCTGCAGACCCTGGGACTCATTCCTGAAGCCTATGTCTAGCTGGAGATGCTTTTTTCCTGTCCCTCAGGGTTTCCTCATAGAGAACAAGCTGCTGAGCCTGCTCCTTCCCCTGGAGAAGAGCGAGTGCTACCTGCTGAGGCTGGATGCCATCTTCTCAGTGAGTCCCACGGGGCTGAGAGGACGGGGCGGGGGCGAAGCCTGCCTCATCCTAAGGTGTTTCCTCGACATTGCCTCTGCCCTGGGAGTGGATGCGGCTCTCCAGGGCTTCCCTGGGTTCACTGTCACATCCTTCCCTTAACTTACTCTCCCCCTAGCAAGTTGGTCTCGGAGTCATTCAAGTGTCTCGCACCCTGCCCCTTCCTCTACTGGCTTCTCTCTCTCAAGGCCCAGCTCTCGGAGTGTAGGCTCTTCCCCAAGTATTTGTAAAAATGGGAAGGAAAATATACGTGTTTATATATGTATTTGCTTATATAGACATAATATTTCTTTGGAAGGTTACATAAGAAACTTGGTAACATTAGTTTGCCTGTGAGAGGTCAGTTAAATGAACTGTTAGACAGGAATAGGAGGAAGACTTTTTTAATTTAAAAATTAAAACAAAATTTAATTTGTATTATGATTCAAAAGGATATTTTTAACATGCCAGCTTTATGCATATTAATAAAATGAACACCTGTGCAGGTGACTTTAGAAATAGAACATTATCAAAAAAAAAAAAAAGAAAGAAATAGAACATTATCACTGTTTTGAAGCCCCCTCTGTGCCTCTCCCCAACCCATCCCCGCTGTTCCCACTTCTGCTGCTCACTATTTAATAAAATGAACACCTGTGCAGGTGACTTTAGAAATAGAACATTATCAAAAAAAAAAAAAAAGAAATAGAACATTATCACTGTTTTGAAGCCCCCTCTGTGCCTCTCCCCAACCCATCCCCCCTGTTCCCACTTCTGCTGCTCACTATATCTGTCCTGGTGTCAGTGTCTCCCTCTGCAAGTTTTCTGTAACTTTCTGTAAATGCGTCTCTGTGTTTTTCTCTTCCTGTCTCTCTTCACACACTCCTGCTTGTAATATCCCCATCCCACAGTTGCCCCCACACCTTTCCCCAGATCACCACCGGGAATCCAGCCACCATGGAGAAGACAAGCTTGGTGTTGGCGTTGGAGATGGCAGAACAGACAGAGCTGGAGGGAGGAAAGGAGGAAAGCCTCGTGGATGGGGAGCCGGAGGAGGAGGGGGAGCCGGAGGAGAAGGTGGAGCAGGAAAAAGAGATCCCACCTTCTCCTAGGCTCATCCACCCCAATGACGTCCTCAAGATTCTGGAGGCCTTTGTCAAGGGTCTGAAGAAGCCCAGGTGGGCGGTGGTGCCAGAGGGCTGGCCTGAGCCCTGGGGGGCTGATGGGCTGGGGAGCCAAGCAGATGCTAGCAAGTGGAAGAAGCTGCTGAGCAAGGATTTAGGGGAGCGAGTAAATACATTCTAAGCAGGGCTAGAGGAGTTGTTGGGCGTATTCATGAAAGAAATGGGGTGCAGTAGTGATTTGTGCTTTCTTTGTTCATCATTCATCATTCAACAAACATTTATTGAGGTCTGCCATGTGTAGGCACCGTGGGGATGATACCTTGTGACCAGAGCAATGGTCAGAGCATATACAAGGTGTCAGGTTTGTCAGAGGAGGAAGTGGTCATCTCCATTTGGCCTGTCAGAGAGGGTTTTGGGAGGAGATGGGACTGGAACTTGGTGTCCCTAGGTGGGTGAAGTGGGGGAAAGGGCTGGAACAGCACAGGGAAAGGACTGGTATGTTCAAGAACCATGACAGGGAGGTATGGCTGGAGTGTCAAGGGTCTGGGAGGTGGGACTGGCAGGTAAGGAGCTAGGCCAGATCTTGGAGAGCCTTGCCCATTGTGTCTAAGGTCTTTGTCTTTACTCCTTGGTGGACTGGAGCCAGAAAAGGATTTTAAGCGGTGGGGAGCCATGATTAGACTTGCATTTTAGAGAGATCACTTTGATGGTAGGGAGGGGAGTGATGCTGGATACAGAGAGTCAGGAGGATTGTCCAGGTGGGAGGTGATGATGCCCTGGATTAAAACCTTCATAGAGGGGGCAGAGAGGAGGTGACAAGACTTGAGAGCTATTTTGAATGCACTAGTGGAAGAAATGGGCATAGCACTGAGCTATAAAGCCAGTGAGGTAAACTGGCTGGGAGAAAGAGAGGGTGGATGAATTGTCAACGATGCTATCATGAAGGTGGCAATGGCACCGAGAGTCAGGGACACTGACAATAAGCATGTGCCCTTTCTGAAAACCTGCCATAATCTGATAACACTTGAGCAGCTGAGTGGAAAGATGACAGGTGGAAAAGCAACAAGTCTGTGACTGACCTCAGGTGCTGTGACTGGCACTGCTTGGGGGCCTGGGTGGTGCCAGGTGGAGATGATGGTGCCAGTGCTCTTGACCTCCAGGGACTTTCGGGCACCACTGAGAGTGCTGAAGGGCGTGCGAGATGACTCAAAGGACTCTGAGTACTGGAAGGCCCTGACCACGGTTATCCCCTCTGCCAGGCAGAGCCTCTGGGATGCTCTCTACACAGCCTTGGAGAAATACCAGTAAGTGTATGTGCCGTGGCCCAGGAGAGGGAGGGAGCCAGGCAGGTGGGTGAGGAATGATTGCTTGGAATAGCCACATTTGCCCCTCCCTGTCCCACAAAGTCTTGGAGAGAAAAGCTGCTTTGGCAACTCCTGTTGGGAGGTGGCTTGTGTTGCTCTGGAGGCCCTTTTCTGTTCCTGCCACCCTGGCTTATCTGGTGCCTGGGTGAAAGGTGAGGCTTCTAGGGTTTTCCTGCACCTCCAGCCAGAGCAGAAACACAGAGAGCCTGGCCCCTGCTTGACAGAGAATGGGTGACTGAGTGGGCCTCTAACCCACTTTCCTGCCCAAAGCCATGTCCTGACCCAGAGGGCCAATCTGCTGATGGAAAACGAGTCTCTGGAGCAGCAGAACACAGAGCTCCAGATGCTGCTTCAGCAGTATCTGGCCTCCAAGGTGAGTGATGGGACCCCCTAAGGAAGGGAGACAGGGAAGGGGTCCAGGGGACCTAGAGCTGACATAGGAAGTGAGGAGTCCTCTCCCTCACCAGGGACAAAGGAGCTTTGAGATGTAAGAAATCAACAATCACATGGCAAGTTGAGACAGTCACTGGGCAAGGGAGCAGATATTGCCCAAAGTCTCCTCCAGGGCAGCTATGTGTGACTGGGCTCTTTCCACTGCCAGCCCAGCTTCTCTGGCCGGTGATATGACTGAGTGTCATCTTGCATAGGGAGAGGAGGTTGTGCTGGGGTGCATACTCCCTGGCCCCCATTCGTGTCTCTCCAGCAATAGTTGTGGAACCCTTGCCAGGGCCTGGCAAGAGGAGAATGGACAAAGTCCTTTCGTAACAGTGGCTTGCTCTGCTCTTCTGGTGTGGGATCCTTCAGGTGATGCTGGGGCCATGGGCCAGGAGGGTCAGGACACCAGCTGCGTGGGTGTGTGGCCCCAGAAGGGTGTTGGGTCCCAAGCCACACCTGGAAGGGGAGTATGGTGAGCCTCAGCATCACGATGGCCTCTTGGCCTGTGACAAGACTCAGACATTTGGGGGCCATGTGGTCCATGCTTGCACAGATACTACTGGGTACAAGAGGACGGGGGAGGAGAGGTGAGGGCAGGGCTCGATGGGGATGGAGTGGGCAGGTGAAGGGGGGCGAGGGAGGATTAAGAGAAAGGGTCAGAGGGGAAGATCAAGAATGTTACCAGAGGTGACCAGCTGGATGGAACAGGAGCTAAGGAAGCAGCGCAGACCTGACTTCTGAAGAAAGGCAGACTGTGGGCTTCCAAGGCATCTCCAGCTTTGGAGAGAAATGCTCGCAGGGAGGGGAGGCCCGCGGGAGAGCGAATGTGAACACCTGACCCTGCAGAGGTCAGGAAGGAGGCCCCAGGGGAAAACCTAACGACCTTCACTCTTTTGTTTCCAGATAAACTCTGAACTGCAAGTTCCTCCAACTCAGGTGTTCCGGGTCCCCACAAAACAGAGCCGGACCCTAGAAAGCTGATGTGTTGACACTGACGCTGGTGCTAGAACTGGCACCTGTCACAATGAGGCAGTATCCTGCAGTAATGATGAACCTGTATCCTGAAGTTGTGATTAAAGTCTTTTAAAAGTTGTGGCTGAATCTCTTTAATGAGGTCAGGCTGCAAGGCGCTTGCGGGGTTTTAAGCCTTCAAACTGTGCTCAAGCCTGATGGACTCTTTCAGTGTTTTTGACACCCCTGGGTCCCCCTGGTGTGCCTTCTGGGCTGTGGTGTGAGGTCCCTCCTGTGGGCAGCCTGGGCAGGAGAGCTGTGCCTGAGGCTCACCTTGGCCACGAGAGGCCATCCAAAGCCACAGGGACCTGCTGGGACTGAGGTTAACCACCTAGGGTGCCCGCTGGCTCTACGTCCCCATGCCAGTGGCTCTGCCCTCTGTTGACCCGTGCAGACTTGTCAGCCCAGTGTTTGATTTCTTTTATTAGGAGAAAACTCAACACTCAAGAAAAGGAAAACAGCCAACAGAAACCCAGATGCAGGCAGGGGCAGCACTTGAAGTGCAAATTCCTGGCTGCAGCTGAAGGGAAAGGAAGGGTGGGGTCTGCAGGGGCGGGGAGGGCAGGGAGTGTCAGAAGGGTGGGCAGGGGTACGGGGGTTCACTTTCACTGCTCCTCGCTGGGCTCGCCAGCACTAGCCTGGGCAGAGGGAGCTCTGAGACGTGAGAGAAATCCACAGGCAGGACAGGACTGGGCTTGTGCACCTGCGCGGAGGCGGCCGCCTGGGAAGGAGCAGCCGAGCTGAGCGGTGGCCAGGACGGGTGGGTGGGCTCTGGGCCACTGTGTGGGAAAGCCTGCTGGTGGCGGCTCTCCTCGTAAGATTCTGTTTTCAGGGGATAGGGTGATGATGCCTTTTGCTCGTTCATTCTTTTTAAAGCCCTGGGCGCTGGGCTGTGATCCTTGGTTAATTTCATTAAAGCTTTAATCCTAGACCTGGAAGGCCTGGGGGAAGGTTTGGGGCAGCTTCATCAGGAGCCAAGGCCTGAAGAAGAGGGGAGCAAGAGGGGATCTGCTTCAGGTCTCCCCCACCCCTTCCCACACTCCCCACCCACAGGCAGGGATCGGAGGGGCAGGACTAGGCAGGCAGTTTGGGGGTGTGAGCAGGAGGCAGGCTCCTGGGGCCCGAGGCTCCAAGGGTGGACCTCAGGCTCCTCAGGCTTCCCAGGAGAGATGGAAAAGAGTCCAAGCCACAGGAAGGGCAAATGCAGCAGTCCAGGGGGGAGGTGGCAGCAGGTGGTGGGCCCTCAGGCCCCGAGGAGCTTCTTGACCATGTAGCCGGGCAGGCTGTAGAGGAAGAGGGCCAGCATGAGCAGCCCCAGCAGCGCCAGCACGACCTTGATGATGAGCCACTTGTACCGCGTGCAGATGAGGTACTTGATGGACTTGAGAGGGTTGAGGAACCACACGAAGGCCGTGTCGGGCCGGCTGGGGAGTGGAGTGCAGGAGCTGGTCAGACACGGTGGGCAGGAGCTGCCTCCCAGGGCACCTCATCCCTCTGTCCTTCCAGACCCCAAAAGGCCCTGTCATGGCCCCAGGCCCCAAACCGGAGGGTGCGGGAGCCAGGGCTAGAGCCCATTTTGAAACACGAGGTTTGCTGCTTACAAAACCCTGTCCTCTCTGCAAGACCTTTAGTACCCCAATCTCCTTCCAAGGCCTGGACGGTGTTTTTGGCAGGGAGCAGCCATCCAGCCTCTACCAGACACATGCAGCAGTGGGCAGCTCACTTCTCGAAGAGGCCGTGTGGCACTGCAGGCAGTTCTAGCCATTAAGAGAGCTCCTGCATTCAGCAGTTCATTGAACCTGACTCATGATGGTTTGACTCAATGATTTTTTGACTTTACGACAGGTTTGTTGGGATGCAAGTTGTAAGTCAAGGAGCATCTGTATATGGTTCAGTGTTGCCCCACGTTCTCTGTGAGGTCAGTGCTTCTTGACCTCTTCCTTTCTGATGAACATAAACTTCTGTCCCCACCAGGCCCTACGAAGGGTCTGAGCAGCCCCCATGAGGCTCAGGCCACCCCCACTGGCCTGCCCACCATCAGGGTATGGGTCTCTCTGCCTTCTGCATAGCCTCCTAGCCAGAAGCACTCGATGAGCTTTACTATCTGTTGTTTGTGTTACAAAAACAATAGGTTTCATAAAACATCATGCTGTGAAATTAAAGTATTGAATATGCTTTTTGAAACTACTAACCCACCAACTCGTGCAGGCCACGGACGGCAGCCCAGGGCTGAGCTCAGTATAAGTGGGGCCACAGTGCAGGGGTGTGGGCGTGGGGCACCTCGTTTCGAATCCCAGCTGTGATGGGCAAGTTTGGCACCTGTCAGCCTCAGTTTCTTCATTTGTAAAAAGGGGGTCATGGTAGTACCTACCTCCTGGGCTGGTGAGATGTGAGTGAGACAGTGCGTGAAGCTCTGAGCACGGGAAGAGGGTGCTCAGGAGCTGTGGTTACTGAATGTCTGAATTGAATGGAACTGTATCTCGCAGGGCAGGAAACAGCTGTGGGTTGGGAGGTTGCACACCGGTAGGACCTACTGCAGGACTTGCTGGCTAATCCTGCCAAACCTTTGCCCCTTTCTTCACCCATATCTCAGCGTTTTCCTACCAGTGAAATTGGGTTAGAGTCTGTGAGGAATGTTGCTGGGAGAGGAGATGGCGTAGTGCAGAGAACACTGGACTGGTGATTCCAAAACCTAGGCTTGAAACCTAGGCTCGCGTCCCAGCTCTACCTGAATTTGCTGGGTGACCTTGGGTGAACTACTTCACCTCTCTGGCCTGATATGGAAAAACAGAAAATAGTTATTTCTATTTCTGAGCATTTTTTGAGAGGTTGAAAACTGCTGTGTCTGTTTGTATGTGCATTAGTGTGCTTGTGTGCATATGTGTGCTTGTGTGTTTGTGCCCGTGTGTGCATTTGCATGTGTGCCTGTATATGTGCTTGTGTGCGCATGGGCATGTGTATATTCCCCATACTACCCCGTTTTTTGTTCAGAGGAAGAAGGGAGAAGTATCAGACCCAGGAGGCTGCTGGGCTCAGGCCCCAAGGATCTTCTTGACCAGGTAGCCAGGCACAGAGTAGAGAAACAGGGCGAGGAGGAGCAGCAGCAGCAGGAGCAGCAGCAGTTTGAGGAGCAGCCAGCGATACGTGTGCCACAAGAAGTAGCGTGCAGACTTGAGAGGGTTCAAGAACCAGATGAAGCTCGTGTCAGGCCGGCTGGAGCATTGAGAACAGCAGAGGGAGCACAGAGAAAGGACAGGGAGGATGAGGGGTTGGGGTGTGGCAAGGGGCCTCGGCCAGGAGGGAAGCCGACCTGGGCTGAGTGTATGGAGTTCTGGGTGCCTTCCCGGCCATCAAGGCTGGCTAAACCCCAAATGCCACCATTGGAGCTGCTTGACATTGGCAAAATCTAGGAAGAGCATTTATCTCTGCTATGTAGGGCCTTTCCTGGGAGAGGCACTCTTCTCTATACTGATGGCCCATTCTCTGGTACAGAGGGTGGTGGGGGGATCCAGGGGAAAGGAGGAAGGAGCAGAGGCCCCCCTGCAATGGGGCTGTGGTCCAGAAAAGAACAGAGCGTGTCTGGGGAGTGGGGGCAAGAGGACTGGAAAGTTCTGGACTCTCCTTCCCGATCCAGTGCCACCAAGAGCCAGCATGGCAGGGGGGCTGGGCAGGCAGGGCACTCACTTGGGTTTCTCTAGGGGGTCTGGTTCATTGCGGGCCAGGCCCACTGGATTCTTCTCTGCCTCCTCTGCTGTCAGTAAATGCAACTCAGCCTCCACCTTGCCCTACAGAGGAAAGAAAGGTCCCATTGCTCGGGCCAGGTGCTGAGCCCTCGGTACCCCAGCCTGGCCCAGCCCTGCCCACTGCCCAAGGAGGAGATGGTGCCCACCGTGAGCTCAAACTCATCATTCTCATTGCGGGCCAGGAGGGGCCACCAGCCTTTGACGCGCTTCTGCTTGAAGATGGAAACCAAGGGCACGTCCACCTCCCCGGTAGCCATCTCCATAGTGCACTGCTTGGCTGTCTTCGCACCCCGTGGGAACCGGTTCAGGTCCAGCTCGATGGCCCCTGCAGCAACCGCAGAGTCAGCTCTGGGGAATGCAGCAAGGCTGAGGCTATGGCCTCCTTGGCCCCTTTCTGCTGACTGCAGACTGCAGACTGCCCCCAGTCCACATCTCAACCCGCTGCCCCATCGTCCAGCTCATTGGTCTCAATGGAAGGCTTCACTGTCTCTCTGAGCAACCCCACCTCCTACGCTTTGCTCAGGCCCTTGTTTCAGCCTGGGGGCTCTCTCTTGGTGTCTGCCACTCCCGTCCCCCTGCCCTGCCCCACGTGCATTTACTCTGTCAAAGTCCTACTAATTTAGAGGGAAATCTTGCTTTACAGAGGAGCAACCTGATGCCCAGAGAAGTTTCCTGACTCCCTTAGGGAGTCTCAATGATCCCCAGCATTTACTCTCCCCACCTTGGTGCGTCCAAAGCATCTTGTCAGCCCTGGTTAGGACACAGGACATCTGCCCTGGGTGTGGTTAGGTGTGTCCTGGGTGGCAGGAACCTGACACTCCTGGCTCTGACTGACAGGGTGATTGACCCCCCCCCCCGCCGGGTGGGCTCACCCTGTCCCTATCACCCCCACTCTTTCTCAGTTCTGGATCCTAGGCACCCGCCTGCCCAGCTCTGCACCCAGGAAGTCGTCGGCGGAGAAGTGGTCGGCATCCCAGATCTGCAGAGTGAGTCGTGCGGGGATCTTGTACTCGGTCTCATCCCAGGAGAACATGGACTCCTTCTTGGAGATGACGATCTTTTCTTCAGCTGCCAGGTAGTCGAAGGGGAACAGGTAGCGCCAGTTGAAGTTGCCCTCGCCGGTGAGGGAGTGGTAGTGGACATCCGTGTCCTGCTTGTCCTCCTGCTGGCCCTTCAGCCATCTGTGGGGCACCACACGCTGCAGACCTGAGTGTGGTCTCTCCCCACCTCAGGCCTCCCTTTCCTCTCCCTCCTCTCCTGCCTCCAAGGAAGGTGGGCTCACCCAGGACCCACCCCCGCACAAAAATATCACTGGACTTCTCCCCAGTGAAGAAGTCGTCGTCCTCCAGGACCACCTCATCCGTGTTCCACACGATGACCCGCAGCTCATACCTGGGGAGCGGGGAGAGAAGGCTGATTAGCAGCCTGAGGGGTGAGGGATGTTATCCCAGGGTGTGGAGCTAGGACGGGGTGGGGGGCTGGCGGTGAGAGGTTGGAGAGCAGCCTCAGGGACTTGGGGTTAGCATAGGGCCTGGCCAGGGTGGGGCTGTGAGGGGACGGGGACCAGAAGGAGGCCTGTCTGGTGGGACCCTGGGGTGAGTGAGAGGGTCAGCCAGGCTCATGGCTGTTGTGAGATGCTACCCCTGCGCAGGGGGAGTTGGTATGGCTGGAACTCGGGGACCCAGAGCACACTCCTGGACAGGGAGGTTGACCAGGACAAGGAGAGGCAGAGACAGCGTGGCTGGGGGTAGCCGAAATGAGGCTCAGAGAGTCAGGAGCCAGTTCTGTCTGTCTTCTCAGGCCAGAGGCTTCATTCCAATTCTCAGAGAAGCCTATGTTTAAGCCTATGTTTAAGCCTGCAATGGAAGCCCATGGAATCCAATGTCCTTTATGTCCTTGTCCCAAGAGAATTTTTCCAAGGTTTAATTGTAATTATAAATGAAGTGGATACATATCAACCATTAGGAGTGAGGCTCAGTCATCCATTAAAAATTGGACCGAGTGTGGTTCTCTGCGGAGTTACAGAAACACTCAAGT